CAGCAGCTTCCAGCACTGGGGAGGCATGCCGTGCCCGTGCAGCATGTGCCAGGTGCCCGCCCCGTCGCACCACCACGTCGCTGGCATGAACACGGCCAACCTGCCCAGACTCACCAGCGACGCCAAATGAAGACCGGAGGCGGGAACGGGGGGAGCGGGGGGGCGAGCGAGGAGAAAGGCCCTCCCTCCTCCCGCGGAAAAAGGGGCCGCGGGCCACGCGAAGAGACTCCTGCCCTTCCCGGACCTACAAAACTGGAATCGCCCACTCGATCCCCTGCGGCCGCCCCCGTTTTGCCGCCCGCTGCCCAGGGAGGCGCTCAGATCGTCCTGGGGACCAACCAGCCTGGAGACTCCCAGCGATAAAGCCGTCGGAGGGGGAAGAGACGCGACTCCTTCCCTGCCCTAGAAACTCCTGCCACGGACTTGGACGCGGGGGGGGGTCCCCTGCAACTCCGATTCTGCCCCCCCAACACATCCCCCCTCGTGTGTAAAATTCACCGCGCGTTGCTTTGGGACTCTCGGCTGCAGCTTCCGTTCGTTAAAAAAACGCCTGCTAGAAGACGAGGCAAGTAGGCTTTGAGCGCCTGGCGGAACCGACGCTGCCTTGCGTGGGTTTTTTTTTCTCCCCCTTTTTTTGAATCTTCTTTTGGGGGAGGGGAGGGGGTGCCGCCTTTTCTTCTGACGGTTCCGCTCTTCAGGCAGACCAAAAGAAATGTACAAACACTCCGAGGGACACGGACCTGATTATATACTGGAAGTCACACTTTTCGAAGTCAAGGGGGTTTCCGTTGCAAATCGACGCGTTTCGATCCCAATTCTGTATGGAAATAAAATGGTCCGCGGAGTCAGCTCCAAACTTTGCCGGCACTTCACACCCGATCGGGCCGCATTTACCTTCTAGGCTGATAGGCTGAGAGCTGTTGGAGATGAACGCCCCCTCCCCGCCCCCCCCCTTTTCGAAAAAGTTGACTTCCCAGTGCTCCCAACCAGACCCATTTAGAACTGGCTGTATTGGTCTCCATTGCTGTCCAAGTGGCGGCGCGATCTCGAACCCCCTGCGAGGAGGTGACCCTTCAGGCCGATAGGTTTTCTTTCCACACAAGAGACCTGGTCGTTTCAAAGGGAAGCCGTACGAAAGGGCGATACTTCTCAAGAGGGAAAACGTGTGCAGCCTGCTGTCTCTCTTCGTGCGGACGCTTAAGAGAGCCAGATGGGATGCGATGGGGCTCCGTCGCAAGTACGGCGGGCCGTGTAGGTAGTAGGATCATAGGGGGCCGAAGGGATGGAGACCTTTGGGATCAGGCCCGGATCACTTGGATCTGTCGTTTGTCCAAGCCCTAGGCTGCAATCCCACGCACACCTTTCCCAGAGAATTCAGTCCCATTGGACTGAACGGGGTTGTCAGAGTATTAAGGTAAAGAAAAAAGTTATGCACTGTTGGTGCTTCTGGGGAGAGGCGCTTGCCAATACACAGCGTACCGTCTGGCGGGTCTTAGCCTTTTGCTGAGCTTTCTTCCCAGTCTCCTGCGAGTTAAGGGCGTCTTCTGCTTTTGCTTTCACGATCCTCAGCATCACTTTTTCCTTCCCAAACTTAACAGGCAAATTCCCCCCTACCACACACAGAACAGACGCTCCACCTCCCTTTACAAGAGACCGGCTGCAACGTGTATTCGGATTGCTCCCTCTTGTATCCTCACCCCTCCAGATTTTTTTCCGAATAACCTATTTTGTTCTCCCCTCTTATTTTAGCGCTGTCACCTTCAAGAGATTTTTTATCGCCTGTTTATTTTTATATAAAAAATAAAGAAATGAAAAATTGTTAAATAATATTTATTGTTTGGTTGAAAAAAAGTGGTCCACTGTTGACATTTAAAATAATAATAATAATAAACATAATGAAAACACCCGCTACTTGCTGCTGCTTTGTTTTTATGGGGCGTAGCAGTTTTTTTTCCGTGGGGGGAGAGAATCCTTTCGAGGGGGCGCGATCTAGAGTGCAACAGAAGATCATGAAGCATGACCACCGCGGATGGATGGGTGGCAAGCAGATCCTAGCTGTCTTCACAAAGCCCACCCAGAGGACATTTTCCGAAAAGTGAAGTCCCTTCATTAGGATCTAAAGGTCGGTACAGAACCAAGGCCATATTCCTAGGGAGCTGGGTCGCAGATTTGATCCGAATTCATTTTGGGTGGAACGCCATGATCCCCAGATACACAGGGCATCGCTACGTTTCTTTAATTGCGAAGAAAGTGCCGCGGTGTTCAGAGGGGGGTTATTCCCCACTAAGAGGCCAGGAAGGGTTGCCAGTGTGGTGTAGCCGTGGATGGAATGACGGAATCTGGAGACAGGGTTCGAATCCCCACTCGGCCATGGAAATTCATTGGGGAAGTGGGACTGGCAAAATCATTCTTTAAATACTGTATCTCACTTTCCATGAGAGCCCCTATTAGTTGGTTCCGACTTGACAGCACAGAACACACGTGCCAGAGTTCGAAATCCGATCCTAAAGGCGTAGCTGGAGTCCTGATTTAGCCTGCCGCATCTCTATGGCAACCTAAGCCGACGGGTAGCTCTACAGGGATATTTACTTCATAAAGGTCTGACTCTTAAACGAGATTATAGGGTCTATGAAATATCCAAGAGATTATAGGGCTAGAATCCGGACATTATTCAATCAACGAACTTTCTAAGGTCCAGATTCGTTCCAAAGCCACATGTCTTAGAAGATGCTGCGAAACTACCAGGATAGAGGCAGAGGTCGCAGCTTCAGAATTACTGACGTAAAAGATTTAGCTATACTATACTTGTAATAATAACCCTTCAGTCAGTTTTATTGAACTCAGGGGATCTGGCTTCTCAGGAGGCTGCAAAGGCTACCGCTCTTGGGCCACAACCCAGCATCCACCGACCCGAAGACCGAGCCAAGTGAACTGAATGCATAGACAATATGCAAGGCGTAGCGCTCCGTTGGCTTTGTTCTGTTCCATCGCTGCCCTCGGAAAAGTATGCCCTCCGGGTACAGTACAGTAATATTTGAAACAAAGCCAGCGAAGTATACCTTTAAGCGTAACAACAAATTTAAAACAACCCAGGGATCCCTCCGGTGGCATTCAAATTGGATTGTACAACTCAGTGCTCCGGATTAGGGCAGACTGGAAGAGGACGGAGATGAGTCTCTAGAAGACCGACACACACGCACCCGGGTTTCACGCCGGCTCAGTGTGGGTCTTGCGAGGGACTGCGCTGGGAGCGCATTCACATGACAAAAGATCGTCCTGCTAACAGTATGTGGCTTTTCCGGGTCGACAGAGGTTTCCCTAGTTTTAGGATATTCCAGGTTGTTTTTTTCTGCTTTATTTTTCAGTGTTTCTGCACAACTTGCACTGGATAGAGGCACGGGAGGCGCCAGCGAGCGTGTTTTGCAAAACGGCGCTTCCTCGGGATTTCTACAGAATCCTGTGGATCGCACCCCTGACAAATGGGCGGCAGGACGGGCACTTTCGTTTGAGCTCCACTTTCTCCGAATGAATGAGCCCGCACAAGGACGCAGATGCTCGGATCACTCCGTGCCTAGGCTTTTTGCCGTAGAGAGCCTCCCTCATTCGAGGGCTTCCAGCGCAAACTGGTCTCCAGAGGGCTCACTTCCAGCCTCCTCTCACTTCCACTGGCTGCCCTGATTAGGAGGAGCACTGAGGGATCACTTCTGGGGGGGGGGATGCTGGAGGGGAAGGGACCAGGAAGGTCCATTGACTTCAGTGGGGTTTACTGGCGAGCAACAACGCTCAGGATTGCTGCTTCTCAATCAACAGCTAAAATCAGCGGCTTTCAACCCTAAAAAGTAGGGAGGTTCCACTGAAATCGGTGAAACCTGCTACCAGGATCAGAGGGGAAGCACAGTGATTATTATTATTTTTAAGTCGTCTTTCCGCTAATTAAGGCACCTAAGGCGGCAGAGAAATTATTAAACACACACACACACACACACACACACACACACACACACACAACCCGCAAAGCGCAAAGAGTGGAGATAGCATATGGGCAGGAGAAAAACAGGCGTCTTCCAGTAAGTCTATAAACTATAGATACTGAAATAAATTTAGTTCAGCAGGCCGTCCCAAGACATTTTGCTGCCGGCTGAAAAATAGCAATGATAATCTTTTCGTCAAAAGACATATTTCACAGCTGGAATTTGGTTCAGAAGGCAGGAAGTCCCACGCATTCATCTATTCCGTCCCCGAAAATACAATTGCAACAAGTTAAGCGACTAACAATTTATTTCCTTCTCTGCCACCCCCTCAATCTACCGCCTGAGGCGGCTGGTTTACTCTTCTCAACTACAGAGCCGACCTTGTCAGATAAATCCAGATTTCTTTATTTTTTTGACATAACTGTTTTGTGGTTGACGCTAGAACAGATTAGAAAACTGCTAGCTTCTATTTAACACACGGCGCTTTACCACCATCATCTTGTCCTTTCAATTTATTGCTTACTTCCTCCAAGTTTCTAGCGCTCATTCTGTCCGTTTCGACCAAAACGACTCTTTTCGTTGCAGGGGAAGGGGAATACTTTCTTCGTCCATGGTTCCTCCCGTTATCCCTAATCTTTAAAGGGTAGATTTGAGTATAACTCTTTTCAAAAAATCATTGTCTGGTTCATGCAACTCTTGCGCAATTGTTAGATTACTAGGGGACACGAGAGGTGAATTTATTGCAGTTTCGTTGCACCCATTTGAAAATAAATTATTTTTAAGGCGTATATTTTGGCGCGGAGCGTTCCTGAGCATGGGCAAAGTTTGGCTTCCCTACATTATACTGCTGCCTGGGGTGAGTTTCCAAGTCCCAAAGAACGTCTGCTTTCTAGGTAGCCGTAAACTTCAGCACCTGTTGTTCGGCAATCAGCCCCTGGAGATCACGTTTCCATGGGGTAGGGCCCCGAGTTCTAATTCCCCGGAGTCTGACTAACGCGAAACGCCTCCTCCAATCTGCTCTACAGAAGGACTCGTTAAGGGGTTTAGCGAGCTGTAACAGGTCCCGGATTTCGAGGCTCAGGTCTCATAAGAAAAGCTGTTAAATTCCCACCGGTTCAGGTTGGTGCAGGATGTGGCTGTAATTTTTCTTCTTCTTTCAGTTCAAGGAGAAATGTGGATTTCAGACTAAACAGGACATAAGAAGTGCACAAATAGCCCCCCAACCCGCATGGGAGAAAGCTCCCCTTTTTAACCATTCAGATTTGCGGTATATGCTGCCCTTGCACTCGGTAATACCTACACTCGGCTTCCTATGATGCAACGAAAGCCGGGGTGTCTCCTGGAATGAAAGTGAGAACATGAGCAAATCACACTTATCGCCCTGCATACATTGCTTTCGAAAGTAAAATCCTGCGACTTCGCTTTCTGCTGGCAACATTCCACTGGACGCTTAATGCGAAAAGCAACGTAACACCATTTAGTCTTCAAAAGCAGTTCTTTCTCTGATGCTGCGATTGTTCCAAATTGCAAGTGATGGATGTGGCTCTTGTACCTAAGGTCCATTCTCCCACGTCCGTGTGAAGCATTGAACCCAAATGCCTTTTTCGAAGCTCTGACCTGAGGATTGTAACCCCGCAAAGCTCCGGTGGGCTTTGTCTTCCCTTGATCCCTTGCTTCCTCTAGTAGTCAATGTTAAAATAATGTTAAAACCGTTTAACATTATCTACTTCCCTTCTTTGGGGCTGTCCTCTTCCACAGGAGATGGATAGCCCCACATAAGGGAGAGTCTCTTATACACACTCGTGTAAGCAATCAGAGATATGCTTGTAGGCTCAAAGAAAAAAAAAGGAAACAAAGACCAAGAAACATGATAATCAACAAAAATTAAACCCCAAGTGGCTTGGTAAGGACCTGCAGGTTTCTCGTGCTTACCGAATGTGATGGCGCGATGGAGCTGTTGAAGGAAGACTCGCAGAACCTGGGGGGTGGGGGGGGAGGCGAGAGAAGTGATGGAACAGCCTAGTGACCAGATCTCCCTAAGGAAGCGGTGTTTGTGTATATGTGTGAACAGATAGGAGCATTTTAAAATGCAACTTTGCAGCATTATGAACTGAGCTCAAGACATTTTCTGCCTGAGGCTGACCAAGTAATAACTGCCTGATCAAGTAACAATTTAAAGCCAACTCAGCTATTTTGGCACATGAGTCAGACAAAACCCACAATTGCCTCTTTCCCCTTCCCATTTAGTACAAATCAAAGAAGTGCTACCTGGGGCACAGGACTCCCATCTGCCTTATGAGAGGACTGATCTTACTCTGCTGCCCAGTGGACGGGGCCTCAAGGCTATTTGTTGCAAGCAAAGAAGGTTGCCAATGAGATGTGGAAGGAACTGGAAGGAAAATTCTTGGTGGACAAGGGTGAAGTACTGCTGGAGTAGTTGGAGATTTTGACAAGCGTCTAAGGGATGCTTTGAGCCTCATATGTGAAAACACTCTCCAGTTCCACAGGATTTTAGGACTCTCTTTCTCTTTCCCGCCCCCTTCTCTCTCTGTATGCTCTTGATGTGACCAAAAGCCCAACAGAGGAGTCTTGTTGGTTGGCCTCACAAAGCGTACAGCTGGTTGGGCAGATTTTTTACTGCCAAGAGCTGCTTGCATTGCAGGCCAGAATTCTGGGCTTCCTCATTCATTCCGTTCCAAAGAAAGTCATTGTAGGGATATTTTTCTCTCCACACTCCCAACCCAGATTGATTGAAACACACCTGACAAAGCCAGTAGATTTCTTCTGGGTGGGCCAGGTCTTCGCAGTTTAAGACTAAATTTAAATCCCAGCTCCATCTAGAGCAGAGACATTGGGATTTACACAGC